CTCCTGCCCCCCCCCCCACACTGAGTGAGTGAGTGAGTGAGTGAGTGAGTGCGTGCGTGCGTGCGTGCGTGTGTGTATGTGTGTGTGTGTGTGCGTGTGTGCGTGTGTGCGGAGCTCCGTGGATTGGTCAATAGCCCCCTGAAGAATTTTTTTTAAAAGAGAGATCTCCAACGAGGCGTTCTGGGGCAGCACAGACAGCTCTTCTCTGTGTTACTCCCTACAGGGTGTACTTTGAGGGGTTGAGACTCTGCAGACCGTTCACATGCAGAAGCTACAGAACACAAGGGGACGGGTCAGAACCAGAAAAGCATATGATGGGACCTTTAAATATATTTGACACATTATTTCAGAATGAGGATTAGTGGTTTGTAGCGCCCCCTGTGGGGGGCTGCAGTACTGCAGGTATTTGTACCAGAGAGTAGGACTTTCTGTTTCCCTGGAGGCTTCTCCCTCTCTGATCCTGCAGACTCCTCCTCTTCCTCTTCCTCTCCTCCTCCAGCTGATCAGACAGAACAGATGAATTAATGTCATTGGTTTCTTTGTTCAGTGAAAGAGAGATACAATTATTGTGAGAATAATGTGAGTTTTCTTTGCTTATTAATTACACTAACAAAGGTTTTAATGTGTGAATATATGATTCTATATATGTTCGGAATATTAACAACACATCGACCAATCCAAGCAAACCTTCCCTAACGTTTCCTGTTTAATTATATATGAAGGCAGCTCTCTCTCTGATTGGACACGCCTTTATTTTGAAAGGTGTTGGCCCAGGACCTTTATTGAAATGAGAGGCTGATGTTGCCATGGTTACCTCGAGGTTTAGGGGGTTGACAATGTCTCCGGGCGGATCACAGCGTGCCTCAGACGTTCCGTCCAATCGTATCTCTTCGAGGTACAGTAGCCACTTCCCATTGGACACCTCCCTCGGCCAATCAAACTCCACCTGTAGGTTGCCTAGGCGACCGAGTGGCTTCCCAATAACATGCACCTATCAGAGGATGCCGTGGGTTACCAACCAACCAGAACAAGAAGAAATGAGGGTCGTTGTCAGTAGTTACAGCAAGTCGTGACCGATGGACCGCTAGTTAGCTCGGAAGCTAACTCCAGGGCTAACATTTAGCAAAGTACTATTAAAGCAAAAGCATTTGGCGCTAACCCGCTACAGAGGCTAAGATGGCACCGCTAACACAAACATGGTGCGATGCGTTCAGGTGAATCGGGATGTTTTTGTTCTGACCTGGAGGCTGAAGAGCAGCAAACTGCCGACATCCTGCGTCCTCCTCATGGCCGACTCCCCGATCACATGACCGCTGAAGGAGGCGTGGCCTGGAGGGGTGACTCTGTCAGGTCAACCAATGAGAACAAGAGTTAACCTGAAATAACCTGAGATAGTTAGACTTAGACATACTTTATTGTCATTTCAACAAGACTCAGAGTGTACTATCAAAACGAAATATCGTTGTACTGGCTTACAGGAACAGGACAATATAAAAACTTACTAAAATTGTACATATAAATAAATAATAGTGACGTGGTGCTGATAAAATTAAAGATAAAGTGTGCGATTAAAATATAAAGACTTACTATACATATAAATAAAATAGACATACTATATATATATATATATATATACTATAACTCTATATAGTTACCCTGAGTTAGTTAACCAGAGTTAACCTGAGATAACCTCAGATAGTTAACCTGAGTTAGTTAACCTGAGGTAACCTCAGATAGTTAACCTGAGATTACCACAGGTAGTTAACCTGAGATAGTTAACCTGAGATAGTTAGCCAGAGTTAACCTGAGATAACCTTAGATAGTTAACCTGAGATAGTTAGCCAGAGTTAACCTGAGATAACCTGAGATAGTTAACCTGAGATAGTTAGCCAGAGTTAACCTGAGATAACCTGAGATAGTTAACCTGAGATAGTTAGCCAGAGTTAACCTGAGATAACCTTAGATAGTTAACCTGAGATAGTTAGCCAGAGTTAACCTGAGATAACCTCAGGTAGTTAACCTGAGATAGTTAACNCAGAAAACAAGGGGAACACCTTTCGGGGGTTAAAAAACCACCCTGGTAAGAATGGTTCCCAAAACCTCCACACCACGGCGGGGCTGGTGATGGTTCCGAAAACCATTCACCCGCCCCGGAGGGGGCAGGGGATCAGTAATCCCGGTGGGGGCGCACGGTGACGGCCAGGGGCAGACGCACACCGCCCCACTGGGGAGTTTTTTTTTTCCCGGGTTTCCGAATAGTTTTCAAGCCAGGTCCGGTGAACGGCAGCCACGAAGGCAAACCCGGGGGCAGGGCTCCCAGCAGAACCCCCGCGCGGGGTTCCCTGTCCCTCGAAGGGGCGGAGGGAGGTGGTGTTTCATCTGCTGGGCGGGGACTGCCGGGAGACGTGTGCTCGGGAGCCCAGGCTCAGGTTAAAAAGTGGCAGGTGAGAGCCCGTGCACCTCGCCTTTTACGAAGCAGGCACCGCTGGTATGGGGGTGGGGAGAAAGGTAGAAGCAGAGGCCTGAGAAAACAGCCAGAGCCTTTCCTTCTAAAACACCCCCATTTTGTTTCATAAAGGCACAGGGCAGAAGTCCCTGCAAACTCTCCTTATAAAAGTCGGGGGTAACAGTACCCCGGGCGCTCCATTTTTCCGGCTCCGGCCTCGCCGCAAGCGGGGGGAGGGACGGCTTGAACCCTCCGCACTGCCCCCGGAGGAGCAGGGGAGTCAGGTACCCGGAGGCGCACGGACGGCCAGGGCGGACGCCACACGCCACGGAAAGTCAGGGTTTTCCGAAGTTTTTCGAGCCGGCCCGGTTGAAACGCCAGCACGGTAGCACCGCAAGGAGCCTTCCAGCAGACCCCCCCCGCGCGGGGTTTTTTCCCTCGTTTCCCTCGGAAGAAAGGCGGAGGGGGGTGTTTTCATCTGCTGGCGGACTGCCGGGGAGAACGTTTGTGGCTCGGAAAGCCAGGGGCTTCAGAGTAGTTGGCAGTTGAGGAGGGCCGTGCCAACCTGCCTTTTTAACAAGGCGGGCAGCGCTGGTTATTGGGGGTGGCGAGAGGAAGGTAAGAAGGCAGAGCTGCAGAGAAACAGCAAGAAGCCTTCCCTCTAACCACACCCTCATTTTGTTCATAAGCACAGGGGCAGAGAGTCCCTGTTCAAAACTCTCTATAAAAGTGGGGATAAAACAATACTGCCCTCCGGGCGGCTTTCATTCCGCTCCGGCCTTTCGCGCAGCGGGGGAGGTGGCATTTGAAAACCCCTCGCCACCTGCCCCGGAGGAGGCAGGGAGTCAGTAACCCGGAAGGGGCGCACGGTGGGACGGCCAGGGCGAGACCGCCACACCGCACTGGAGTCAGGGTTCCGAGTTTCGAGCCCAAGGTCCCGGTGAAAACGCAGCCGGGAAAAAGCACCCGGCAGGAAATCCTCCAAGGGCAGAACCCCGGCGGTTCCTCGTTTTCCTCGGGAAGAAGCGCGGTGAGAGGTGGGTGTTCAATCTGCTGCGGAGCGGGGAAGAACGTGCTGCTCGGGAGCCAGGGCTCAGAGTTAGTGCAGTGGAAGCCCTTGCCAACCGCCTTTTTTACAGCAGGCACGCGCTGGTATGGGGGTGGAGAGAAGGTAGAAGCAGAGGCTGCAGAACAGCCAGAAGCCTTTCCCCTCTAAACAAACCCCTCCATTTTGGTTCATAAAGCCACAGGGCAGAGTTTTTCCCCTGTCAACTCTCTTTATATTCCTCCGCGAAGGGACCAGTTTGGGACATCGGAGCATGCCCAATTCGGCTTGTGGTTTGTCCTTTTTTCGTTAAATGGGGCTCAATAATGTACTGCCAACAACCATTAAATGGGTAAATGAGCTAGGTAATGTACTTGCAAAATTCACATTTTTATTTCCAAAAAAGCCTTGGAAAAAAAAAAACAACATTATCCCGTTCATGTCCTGCAAATATCATTTCTTTGGTTTATTTTTCCTATTTCAGGCAAATACATATCTTTTGTCCGTTCAGGGAGCAACCCGCAGTCTGGATTGAACCGACCGCCACCCAACGGAACAGGACCCGGGGGGAGGCTCCAATGGCGGGTCTCAAAATTTAACTATTACCGCAAGCTTGGCTGGACCCCACTAAGCCGTAGGAGACAGCCGGGCGGGACCAGCATGTCCTCTTTAAGGACAAAGTAAATTATTATTGCGCTTCGCAATTATCGCATATCTTTGGTTCGCTCCAGGAGCAACCCGCAGTCTGGGATTGGGAACCGTACCGCCAAAAGCACCGGAACATGGAACCGGGGAGGGAGGCCCTTCCCATGGCGGGTCAAGAATTTACGATTTACCGCAGCTGGCGGACACTAGCCGTAGAGAACACCCGGGGCGGGAACCAGGCATGTTCCCTCTTTAAAAAGACAAGGCATATATGCGCTCCGGCATTCGGCCGCATATCTTTGTCCGCTCCAGGAAGCACCGCCAGTTTGATGAACCGACCGCAGCCACCGGCACGAGGCCGGGCCGGCGGAGGCTTTCCGATGGCGGGTCGAAGTTTTGCATTCGATCAGTCTTGCAGACCAGCATAATGTGGTTGTACGCAGGATTCAAACAGGTAGTGGATGAAAGGTAGCCCGTGGCACGGGGCAGGGCATATTTTGGGTGAATGCCGCAGGCCGAACTTCAGCCGCCTATTATGCCCCCACAAGTGGAGGATGCAGAGAAAAAAAAACAGGTGTTTGTCTTGGCATTCCGCCCCGGCGAAGGTGGCGAGGTGGGAACTTCCACCCCCGCTACGACCCGTGGTGGGAACCCCTGAGTCAGACGGTTCGTCTTGGAAAGCTTCATTATCGGCTCGGCCTGGAGGTTAAGAGACACGCAGGGGTAACGGACATTCAGGGTTACCCCCACGCCAGCCCACGCAACACGGAGGAGCAGCGGGAGTTCTGGTACCCGGAGGGGAATGGCCGCAACACCGCACTGGAGTCAGGGCGTTTCGAGTTTTTCGGAGCACCGGCTCCCGGTGAAACGCAGGACTCAGCAGGAGCCTCCAGCGACCCGACGTTTCCCTCGTCCCTTCCCGGCCAATCAGGAGTCGAACCTCCAGTTCGGCGAGGGAACCGACCGGCCAGAAGGCACCGGCACGGAGGCCGGGCGGCGGAGGCCCTCCGATTGGCGGGTCGCGTTTGCAATTCGATCAGTGAGAAATCAGAAGGGGAAGGGAAAAAAAACTTGTTCTTTTTGGCTAGTTCCATCAAAAGGGGCTAAAATGTTAGAAATGTATCCGGAAGATAGTGCCCATTAAGGCGGGTAGAGTCCCTGACAACTCCCGCTCGCCATTCCTCCCAAATCTGAAAAAGTCAGAGTTATTTCTTGGACCAACCATCAAAAAGGGCTTAAAAGGTGGTTAAAATGATCCGAAGGATAGGTGCCTCATGGAGGCCGCGGTAGCAGTCCCCTGTTCAACTCCCCTTGCATTCCTCCACTCTCACAATAGTAACACTTTACTTTTTGGGAACCGCTACAAAACGCGCTAAAAGTGTTTGAAATGCTATCCGAAAATTGTGTCTCAACACTTCCTTGGACAACGCCCTGCATTCCTCCACGAGACCAGCCTTTTTATATAGTTCAGCTTATGAATTCCATCATCTCATTAAACCTTTTTAAAAGTCATACTTTGTTCTGTGAAGCGGATATTAAGCGGATATATGCACTCGTACTTCATATTGTATTACTGAAAAGCCGTATATTAGAGCACGTTTTTTTGCTATGAATAGATTTTATGCCTTCAAAATGTTGGCGTCGCGATTTATTCACCAAGTAAAAAGTGCGGTCCCGGGCCCTGGACCAGGGTTGAGAACACTGTTCTAAATCATCTGAGTAACGTCTACGGACCATATTTTCGTGTGGTGGTTTGTGCTGCCATCGTGTGCGCCTTTCTGTAGGCATCGTACTTGCTTCGGGCTGTTGCTTGGCTGTTGACCAAGTTCGGGGGCCCAATCTTCGTGCCGAAATTCACAATTCCTTTCCCTTTCCAATATTCGTGCTGTCCATCTGCGTCTTTCAATTTCGGTGGCAGTGTGGAAAAGGGCCTTAAAGCCTGTAGCGGATTATGAAAGAAGAATTGCTGCGAAGTTAGGGAGGCAAGTATTCAGCGAAGTTCTCAGCTCAACAGAAGTTGGAGGTCATTACTGTTGGTGCTACATTAGCACAACTAACAACATTGCCAACAAATTCTTCTTGATGAGAACATTTCTTTTGTGTCAATTGTTTAGTGACAAAGCTGGACAAAAAAATAAAGCTATCGGGGAGCAGAGTGACGTCATGAGGCAGAGGTAGCTTGCTGTGTGTGTGGTGTGTGTGTGTGTGTGTGTGGTGTGTGCTGTGTGTGTGGTGTGGTGCTGTGTGTGTGTGTGTGTGTGTTGTGTGTGTGTGTGCTGTTGTTGTGTGTGGTGTGTGTGTGTGTGTGTGTGTGTATCTGTGGTCCAACACCTTGGCATGTTGGTGGCTTTCGATCATGCATGGTGTCAGGGAGGTCGAGGTCGTCAGTACAGTCGATGGTCCACATGGTCGATGCGTGAGGCCCGTTGCGCCGCGCCCCACTTTGTCCCCAGATTGTGATGGTGCTTGCTGCCGTCCATGTAGGCTCTGGGCTATCCGAGGCCGGACCCCCCCACTCCGTCCAATACATGAGCTGCAGAGACAAACAACCACTGGTTCATGGTGGGACACACGCACAGCGTAGTCCAATCATCAAGGTTACTGTGGTTCTTCTTTCCAATTACTGGGTTGTTCATGCCTCAGCTCTCTTGAATATATTTTGCAGATGTCTGCCAGACTTAGACTTAGACAATTACTTTATTGGTCATTTTCACAAGCACGGAGTGTACTATTAAAACGAAATATCGTTGTACTGGCTTACAGGAACAGGACAATATAAAAACTAAAATTGTACATATAAATAAAAAATAGTGACGTGGTGCTGATAAAATTAAAGATAAAGTGTGCGATTAAAATATAAAGACTTACTATACATATAAATAAAATAGACATACTATATAGAAAATATGTGCGCAACAACAGCCCTCCACTTTAAAATATAATACACTGTACTCTGTCATATACTGTCATATATTCATTGTCCTAAGTTTTTTTGTATATTTAAATTAGGTGTATATACTTGTCTATAGTCTTTTTTAATGCTAAATAGTTTCTTAAAAATACTTTCCTTTTATTATTGTTATATTCTTGACCTACTCTCACAACTTTTTACAGCATAATACACCAAAGCAAATTGTATGTGTAAACGTACCTGGTAATAAACTTGATTTTGATTTGTATCCGTTACCATATTTATTGGATCATCTAAAGTTAAGCAGGAGTTGAACCGGTTTCCACTTTGTATGTTTTGTTTGGTTAAGTTCTGTGTAAGAAGACATCTTTGTTGTCTTTATTAATGAGTGAGCATGGTATGTGGTCATAAAATTACATTGGACGCCTCCAGGCACGAGTGTTGACAGCTCTATGCCGTGACATCATTAAGATACCACCGGTGAATTGAACACGCTGGCACATGACTTACCACACACACACACACACACACACACGCACACGCACACGCACACGCACACACACACACACACACACACACACACACACACACACACACACACACACACACACACACACACACACAGAGTGTCTTGGGGAGTTTTGGCCAGGGATGAACAGAGATCAACAAACAGCTATAAGAGCGTCCTCTCTCAGCTGGAGGTGAAGGGGGAGGGAGGGAGGGACACTGGCTGGTGTACCTACATACCAATAGTGTGACATGGCTCCACTCTCACTCCCTCACACAGAGTGAGGAGTCACGCTACATGAAGTCATTGTTTGGCACCGCAGCCTTGAAAGACCCGGACCTCCAGCATCAAACAGGTGTCTCGCAGTGACTCACCTCCACACACTGCTAGAGATCTTTGAATTAGCAATATTTTCCTTTTTTTAGTCTTTATTTTAATTGTTTCTTTATTATTCTTAGATAACTATCTTTTTTATTTAGATTATTTTGTATTTCTTTTTTTAGATTACTTCTACTGAGTTGGTCATCTGTTGTTAGGTTTCAAATGACTTTATCTCAATAATTCTGTTGCCCATGTAACCTTATTGTAATGATGTATTTATGTAGACATGCTGCATGTGTGCTCATATGCTTTTATTAATATTGAAAAGAAAAAAGATATAAGGGACGCCAAGTGCTCAGGCTGTAGAATTTCCATTAAATCCCACTCATATGTGGAGCAGCTTTTACACATGATGGTTGTGTTCCTACCCGTTGGCTGGGTCCAGGGCGAGGGAGCGAGGGTTGTCCAGCGAGCGCGGGTTGTCCAGGTCCTTACAGACCAGAACCTGCCGATACTGTCCGTCCAGCCGGGCCACCTCGATGCGGTTAGTGCCAGTGTCAGCCCAGTAGATGTTACGACCCATCCAGTCAACCGCCATGCCTTCTGGGTAATCCAGCCCGAACTCTATGACATGTTCGACAGAGCTGCCATTCATGTACGCTCTGCTGATAGTCTGAGAGGAAGAGAACGGAGTACGTGATTAATTAACAAAGTTCAAAATAATCAACTGTTTAATTGAAGAATGGAATGTAAACAACAAACATAAAATGTGTTCTGACTAGGGATGGGTATCGTTAGGATTTTATCGATATCGATACTGCTTATCGGTATCGGTATTTTTCGATACTCTTATCGATACTTTTCAATAATTTGGTGCTCAAAATTATAGACATGAATACAAGCTGTGAAGATTAAACAGTCATTTTATTGTAATTTTCTTGCAGAAATAACTGTATAACTTATACATTAGCTTCTCAGAAGCAGAAAAAAAAAAAAAAAATCACTTAAAGGGGCCTGGCTTGCCCTGTCATGCTTTTTGGGGTTTTCCCTCAGACAGAGGATGAAAAGAGGCATTTTTTAACATTTGTAAATCAGTTACATCTTCATCCAGATATTTCAAACTGACAACCTAGCTCGACAAGAGACCCTTAAAACATTGTCCAACAGTGACATCATGCAAAACTGTGATATGAAGAAATTGGTAAAAAGGCTAAGATGGCAAAAAGATAAAGGCGAGTACGTATATTATTCTGGATTGTACTTTTAAATCATCACAAAATAAATGATGTGCTGAACTGAAACACGTCAAAATGTGTCTGAAGGTTTAAACATAGAACAACGTATTTGAGCTTAAAATATGTCAATTCCTAGTAAACGACCAACAATTGCTGAACCATACTGTGAGCGGCCCGACCAAACAAGGAGGCAGAACGTCCAAGAATATAACCCGGTGTGGGCATTTTATTAAATTC